AGAGGCTGCCACACCTTATTTATGTTGATGTGTTTGCAGAGGAGAAAAGGACAGAGTTTGTTCTGGAGCTGGAACTTTTCTGAAGATTTGCAGAAAGGAGTGCCCTGACAATCTGATGGATACAGAGGAATAAATGTGAAATAAGCAAATAAGCAGGTCAGCTGCAGGACTTTCACAACTTCAAAAACAATTTGCTGATTTGGTATCAAGTCTGCTTGCTCCCTCGAGAGCCTGCAGGCACCCGACTTCTGTGAGAAGGAAATTCTACTGCTCCCCAGCATATAACAATCCACTTACAGAAATGTACCTTGGAATGCTGACAAACTGTTCCCTAACAGTGTGTGACCACCTACTCTCTGAAACACTTAAATATTACACAGATCTCGTTGCTGCAAAGCAAAGCAACTCCACTTTTAACCTCCTGCATTCAGACTTCATCATGCTCAAGGATGTCTGCACCAGAGGTCAGGCTCTGAGCCCAGACATTCCATCTCCTTTTGGCAGCTCTTAGGGCAATTAAGTGCCCTCTTCTTCTTTCCATATATAATAATGTCTTTGGTGCAATTTACCCCTTCCTGCTAAGCTGTGCAAGGTTCCATCACAGCCCGTGCAGCCACACTCTGTCTTGTACATCAGGGCAGAGCTGTCAGGTTATTAAAAGGGCTCATACCAATGCAGTCATCACAAAGTAATTATTATTTGCCTTGATCACCTGAGAATTCAACACTCTGTGCTGTAGAATTTTAGGCAAAATTTTAGGTGTGAAATTAAACAGTGGATGGTCCATGAGTATTAAATGTAAATAATTCAGCCAGAGAAACACAAGAAGAAAATAAATGCTTCAGGAGACCTCCCTGCCTGGTTCTGGGGTTGATAAAGCAGAACTTTTATGATGGAAATAAAATGGCAATGAAAATATAGTTTAAGATCAGGGATATTGTAAATCTTATTATTAGAAATATTATCTTATACTTTCCCAACTATGAAAATTTTATTACTTATTTAATCAAATAAATCAACTCAATAAATTTTGCTACTTGCCACTTTTTCATCCCTTTTCACTGAAAAATCCTGCACGGTTTATAAAAATCCCTGTGACAACAACTTTCGGGGTGAAAAGTGAAAGCAGGACTTCTCCCATGGGAACAATTAATCTAGCAAATATCTCAAATTTATGTAAACAGAGTTATATGATATAAAAAAGTTTTTAGAAAGGGATATTTATGAAGGCAACCTGTGATCCCTGTCTTATTCCTTTCCGCATCCTCCTGTAAATCACTTCCACAGATTTCTCTCTTCACTTGTAATTGGTTTTCCTCTACTCAGTTTTAAATCTTTGACTATTATCCCCAGCTCTTTGTCCCACTTGCAAATGAAGTACAAGGTGTGTCACTAAAATGGAGTTCCTGGGTTTCTTTCCCAGCCCCTCTTGCTATGACAGGCAGAATTTAATATCTTTTTAGCAACCACATTAACAGAGGAAAATGAAGGCTGCTTTGGTAGGATCTGCTTTTTGTGCTAGGTTTTAACTATAACTATTGCTCTTTCTCAGATGGTGCTGACACTTTTCCAAGGGTTCATCATTTTAAAAAAGCTGTTTCAGAGTATTATAAAATAACAATAATGAAAAAAAAAGGTAATCAGCCATCTCCTTATTTATCTATTCAAGTACTGCCTCTGTAAATCACACACTTCAACTACAAAGAATGCCCCCAGAAAGAGAGAGTAGCTCTTAAAACTGTCTACAGTATCAGAGGTGAAGAGAAAAATGCCTGAATTATCTTTTTATCCTCCTAAAATTTTGCATCAGAGCCTGCATTACTTATCTTTTCCTGACAGAAGTGACACAGAATCTGTGCCACTCCCTGCAGGCAGTAAGCACATCAAAATTTCTGGGAGCAGAAAACTTTCATGGCAACACACACAATCACAAACTCAACACATATTGCCTCAAAAACACTATTAGGCCCTTCAGCTTCATAAGCACTTACACTTTTTTAAATGCATGAAAAAGTAACACTTTTAGCACCTTTTCTACAGTGCAGGATTCCTGAGGCAGTCATGGAAACTGTACTACGCAAATTTATTTTTTTTTAAATTGGTAGCAAAATGAGTGTTTCTTTTGAACCGTGTGAGAAGCATGAGCAAAACCAATATGGTGCAGTTGGTGTGGTGCGCAGGCCAAATTTAAAATACTTGGACCAATCCATTCACTAGAAAACAAATGTGAATGATCTGATATCTAAGACATATCAATCATGTATTATCTGCTTGCAAACATGCATACAAAAACCTAGGGCAATGGTGAAATCTACACTTACCTTTAAATTTTGTTTTAAAAAAAGAAATCTATACTTCTGTTCAAATTTGAGAAGTCAAAATGTTTACAGTTTAAAAATAAGCTTACTCTGTAATACAAGAGTCTCCTCATGTCAAATATGGAATAATTTTATGCTAAAATATAATGAAGTCACAGAGATTGATATGCAGAAAAAGTAGCTAACAATACTTATTTTTAGCTCATGCCCTCTACCATGTAATTCTTCAAAATTTGTAGCTTTACTGAGTGTGCCTAGTCCTAGGATGAGATCAGCATTAAATAAAATTTAACTGTATTGTATCAGAGAGTGCAGGAAAGGTGAAAACACCCCATGCCCCCACCCCCAGTTAGCAGATTTGTCCATTCCCTTGATTGGGAACATGATCTAACAGGAATGTCCTTAAGCACATATTTATAACTTTTCTATAGAGTGACGCATTTAAACCAATATTTACCTCCTGCTGTAAATCTGGGCTGTGTGCACTTCCAAGAAGACATAATGCAAACTTTTCTTTAATTTTATGCAGGCACACAAAAGTATTTGCTCAATTTCAGTCATAAGAAAACATCCTTCTTCAGATGCTGTATCTCAGGCAGCAAGATCACAGACTACACACCATTTATTCGAGTCTGGAGTATAATTAGAGGATAATTAAAATTCTGGAAAGTCACATATTTCCTGTTTGGTTTGGATTTTTTTTTTTTTTTTTTTTTTTATTGTTTTTTTTTTTTTTTTTTTTTTTTTTTTTTTTTTTTTTTTTTTTTTTTTTTGGGTAAAAAGGGACATATGAAGAGTCTTAGCAGAAGTTCTTCCTTTTCTAACATACACTGCAACTTGTTCTCTGGGCTTTTTTCACCTTTAAAAGTGAAAAAAACCTTTTTTGGTTAGTGAGTTAAAACCTTTTGATAGCAAGAGAACAGACATAGCAGCAAATTTTGCTCCAGGGAGATCTGGACTTTCTGAATGAACTTAATTCCCTTTTGTCCTCAGCCAATAATGACAAATCAAGCAAAAAGGGGGAAAAAGAAAATCTACGTACATTTGTTCCTGCCAAACTGTGCAAGAACAATGATGTAAAATAATCTGAATCCCTAAGGAAAATGTGTTAGATCATTTGGTTCTTTCTTCCACCTGGTGCAGGCTCATCTCTTTCAGCTTTTTTTCAGAGCTGCTGTGCAATCCAATCTCAAGGATCTCAAGTCAAAGTGTTGATCCCACTTTTCAGATGCTATCCAACATTTCTGTAGCATTCCCAGAATAACCTGGTTTTATTGTTGCCACACAAGGAATTGGGAAGAGGAACTGCATCTGTAATAATGCACGTGCAGCATGGACTTCTGTGCAATCAAACCCCAAGCTGACAGCACCTGGATTCAGACCTTTTGGACACAGGAAAAAGAAAGAAAAAACGACCCCAAACCAGGAAGAAGGAGCAGTTGATGAGACTGTCAAAAGCAGAAGTGAGCAATGAAGATCCATGCTGTGGTGGATGTGTCAAAACTGTGAATGGGTAAAGATAAATCAGATAAATTAAAGATAAATGGATAAAGATAACCCCTCCTTACAGGGGTCTTTGAAGGATGAACTAGGAAAGGAAGCAGGGGATAAGAGCCAGGAAACCAGGATAGAAGAGATCTTGACCTAGCAACACTCAAAACAACACAAAATCACGAGAGGAACAAGAGCCTGAGGAAAACTCAAGAGCCCGGATCCCTGTGATGGTGACCTGGCACCACCTTGCCTGTGCTTTAGAGTTCCTCAGTAAGTAGAGTATTTGACCTCAGTGTGCAGATTCCCTTGCCTTTAACATCAGCTGTGAGCCCGCTGCTTCTACAGAAAACCCAGCCCTCCCTGAGGAGAGTCAGGAGCCTCAGCTCTTGGGCAACACTGCAAGGGACACATTTTCCTCTGAGTTACTGAGGCAGAGCAGTGAGGGTTTCAGATACACATTTAATATCAGTTATGTGGCTGACATGACCTGCAAGTTCTAATTAGTCCTCATTTGCTGTTCTCCCAGCTCATGGTCAGATTTGCTGGAACTTCTGCAAAGCAATTCTTCTACAAAAGGATGACAAAGAGATGGGTTCATTCACAATAACAGACATTGCCAAATGAAGAAGGATACTGGAACATCTCTTAGTATTCCAGAATGGCAAATGAGTGAGACGTGGCTCAATTGGTTTCTCAGCTATATCCTCCCATAAAACATTGGCAAAAAAAAATCACTCTAAGCCTGTGAAGATGTACTTAAATGCTTGCAAGTTAGCTGAAACCAGGACAGTATCACATATGGCAAAAGTTAAATAAATGGGCTGTCTTCTCACAGGAAATTACACTGTTCACCATCAAGCAGGATGTTAAGGAATACGAGCTTCTCCCCTGCAGAGGGATAATGAACCCATATCATTCCATTTATCATAGCGAAGAATCATCTCAAAAAGTAAGTTACTCTGCAGGTGCGCTCCTCTCTCCAGATTTCCATGCAATATCAGAGCTCACTGGCACACATTTTCAGTTTCAATGGGATCAGAGTACAGATAACAGTTATTCTTCTAATATATTAAATCTATCAACTGTCATTTCCCACTTACTGACATAGCCTTGAAAAGAAGAGAAGTATTTTATAATTTTAAGAAATATAAAGCTCATAGCTTGCTTCCTACAAAGGCCATTTCCTACCTGAAGGAGGAGGTCAGAAGCTGGTTTGACTTTCTGCTGGAAAAGCACACTTAAAGTTCGATTCTGTTGTTCAAGATCAAAAACTCTCATTTTCAGCTTTATACATTCCTCCCTCAGACCCTGCAGCACAAGGGAAAACAGTTAGATTAGAAAGCAGGTAACAGAAGCACGTAAAAACTCTAATGATATTAAGAAGAAATAAACACACAACTTTTAAAGTAGTATAAATCAGAAAAATGTGCTACTTCATTTTCTCTGGTTGTTTGATCATCAATTATAACATTAAAGAAAATCTTGTCATGAAGAACAGTAGCTACCTGGCACCTCCTTTCAGAGTTTTCTGTTGGCATAAAAATTACTTTACTAGCAATGTGCTCCATCTTGCAGCTGACAAAAAGCATAAAGCAGCAATTAATAGATGGATGTTGTAATAAGCATGAGCTAAGTAAAATGCATAAGCTACACCAAACCAGGCAGAAGTTCAAAGTGGCACTGTGCCTTCAAGGTACTCCTCCAAAGTCTGAGCCCTTCCTTGCTTTTTCTGGAACAACCAAGTCAGCATTGCTGTGCCTGATGTGGATGGGCTGTGTCTTCCCAGACACCCCAGATGTGCCCAGGTGGGCAAGAAGGCCAGTGGCATCCTGGCTGAAGGAAAATAGTGTGGCCAGCAGGACCAGGGATTTTCCCTCTGAGCCAGACACTTGAGCCACACCTCAAGTGCTGTGTTCAGTTCAGGGCCCCTCACTAAAGACAGACACTGAGGAGCTGCAGTGAGTGCAGAGAAGGGCAGTGGAGCTGGGGAAGGGTCTGGGCCACAAACCTGATGAGGAGCAGCTGAGGGTGTTTAGCTTTGAAAAAAAAAAGAGACTTTTTTCACTCTCGACAGCTCCCTCAAAGGGTGTTCTAGCCAGATGGGCACTGGTCTCTTCTCCAAAGCAGCAACTGATAGGACAAGAGGAAATGACCTCTGGAATGGCCTCCAGAAGAGCTTTAGGTTGTATATTAGGAAAAATTTCTTATGGAAAGGGTTGTCAAGCATTGGAACAGGTGGTGGAGTCATCATCCCTGGAGGGATTTAAAAGCTGTGTAGATGTGGCACTTGGGGACATGGTTTGGTGGGCTTGGCAGCACTGGGTTAATGGTTGAACTTGTTGATCTTAAGGGTCCTTTCCAATACAAGAAATTCTATGATTCTCTGATTCTATTGACCATTAGAAGCAGAGGTGAAATGTAAAACCAGTCAAGCCAATAATCTCTTTTAGATACATCTAAAAGATGTATCTATCTATCTATCTATCTATCTATCTATCTATCTATCTATCTATCTATGTCTATATATTCAGTGTAAAACCTGCTTTTCCTGGTCACCTGAAGGAACACAGGATTCTGTTAGAGAGAGGATTTTGGAGACAGTGCAGAATCTGACATGAGTTTTTCAGCAATATTTTGTGCAGCTGCCCATTTTGAGTAAGAGAGCTTCACAAACCAGGAAAACTAGTCTCCTAATAAAAATTACATGTAAAAATAATAAGCTGCAGCCAAATCTCAGTTTCTTTGTTTGTTTTTAATTTACAACTCCAAAATACTTACCATTATTTAAATTTAGGACATTTGCTGCCCTGTGGTATTGCCTAGCTCATATTACTTTCCACCATATGAAGGTGGAGAAATAGGCGTCAGCAAGCCCCATATGCTGTCCTGTCAATACCATTAGCAACATCATGACCTGGCTTGATGAGAAAACAAGTCAGAGGGGGAAATTGTGTTCAGATGTAGCTTAAATTCTTGCCTACAGTTGCTCTAGTCTCTGCTGTAACCAGCACTGAGGTTACAAGAGGTGAACACACAATAAAATATGTTCATCTTGAGACTCCCAGAAAACTGTAAACATCTTTTTATGCATATGTATCACATTTTATGAATACTGGATGAATGCAGTTGTTCTCTCCTGATGGTTTTATAACATTTGTTTTAGGCGGCTGTCAAGTGGCTGTTCAGTTGAAATTGCAAGAGCCTTCTAACACAGCCCTCAAAAAATCTTGAGGCTGATGATTTCTAAAGCCCTGAAGCTTTGTTTCCTGTCAGTGAGACCTCTTATCCTTGGTCTTACACAAGAATCTCTATTAGTAATGGAGACTGCAAGCATCAAGACCCATCATTATCTGTCTTTCACAAATCAGAGAATTTAAAGCTGAGCCTTGGCTGTTATAACAGTGCTTAACATTTCAAGACTACTAAGGGCACTGAACAGGAAAAAATATTCACAGAAACTAGCAGTGTAGAAAAAAATTAAATCTTAGCAAGGCCTCTGCCCAAAACCTTCCTATCTTACAGTTTTAAAACCATAAGATTTATGTTTCAAACTTCAGAATTTCTGTAAAAAAGTGAAATATAAGATAGTAGATTACCCACCCAGATGCTATAAACCCTGCCAGTGGTAATGCCACACATAGCCCAGAGGAGAAATGAGGCACATAAAAGTAGCAGTAGTATGGTAAAATAAAGTCCGAGTTTAGAAACTTGCAGTCCTAAAATTACCAATTAATACAACTATCAAATGTCTGAAGCATATAATTCCTCTCCTGTGGGCAAAACAACTAGCTATTAAGGTAGCAATCTCCCAAATATTTAAAGTACTCCTAGGGTTTCAGTATAGTGATATCTGAGCAGCTCTGTGGTCTTGCTTTATCTCTTCAGTGTGAACCAGACCCACTCTTCTCCAAAATAAAATCCAATGGCCTCAGTAGAGGTTCCAGAAAAACACTGCTCTCCCTCTGAACATGCTTCTTTCTGTCTTAATTAACAATTAATTCACTTCTTTTTTATTTAATTGATGAAAATGGAGAAATGGCGTTCATATAGAACCCAGAGTACAAAGAGTAATCTCCCGAAGACACTCCTATGGAGGAGATTACATTGCAAGAAGTAGATACACAGGTCACAAAATTATTCAATTGAATGGTTTAGCTCAAATTTCAAGCTGCTGATCCAGATCTTAGATGGAAAAAACAATTTTAAAAATCCAGTTCTCAGCAGTCAAATCAGCTCATGTTATATGACAAGTCTTTGGATGGAAGGAGAAAGAATGGATGCTTTCAGTATTATAGCATACAGGTTTGCCTCAGGTAATTTTTTTGGATATCTGACTTCTTTAATTTCCTAGAGGCAAAATTTTGTATTAGTAAGTGGTAGAAATCCATAGAATTTTGCTACATAAAATTGTGAAATTATGCTGCGTGGCTAACTCAGCACAAATTCAATTTAACATAGTTTCTCCAGTCACATCAAAAAAGTCTCTCATCTTAGAGAAATTCTATATGTATTGTAACAAATTACATACTTGAAAAGTGAACGTTTAAGACTGTAATTCCATTTCAAGGATTCAGTGACATTGACAAATCGCTCAAGCTTTGCTCACTCAATTTGTGTCACCAGAATCTCTCAGTGGGATCCCAGTCTTTCCACATCCCGGCAAGCACGCAGTGCTTTACTCCTTACATTACAGCATGTACTTAATTTAAGTGAAAATTAGTCCTTGAGGGATGATTTCAAATTCACAGCAAAGCCCACGCAGTGTGTGCTACTGTACAAAACCACTTTCCTCCCTTTTGTGAAAGCTCTCAGCTTTCCTCCGTGTCTTGCTCTGCTCCTGACGGGTGTTATCTCTCTGTGGCATGACTGACTCTGCCTTACTGCTCAGCTGCATGATGGTAGATTTATCTGTTTACCAGCCACTATTTGGGTTCTGATATCTACCCTTTTGGGACTGGTGAGAGGAGTGCAATTTCCTCTTTATTGTACACTATTGTGTTCCTGTCTTTTCTTATAAAAGGACTTGTATGAACGGTGTCAGGAGTACTATACAGTTAATATTCATTAGCATTTAGAAAAGTACCCTCTTTCCTCTTTCTATGGATATTAAATTAGCTGTTATTACTCAGTAATAGGTAAGCAGCTGTTAAGTCCCATCAACCCTAAGTAAATCACTTTATTAAATGTATTTGGATCTGGTTTTATTGTATCCTTAGGAACTCCTTGGTTCCTATGGGTTTGGAAGGATTAATTACTGAGGAAGTATGTAGTCATCAAAATGTCTGACACCTTTGCAAAGGAAATCAGCAAGCTCCTCTCTCCATTTGGGAAACCATCAAAATATTCCCAAACTAGAGATTAATATATTGAGATCAACCCTCTGGTGAGTATTCCACCACATACAGTTTTATAATACAAAATGTGTATGGGGTTTTTGTGTATATTAACATGAAAAAAATACCTCCATTCCCATTTAAACTGTATTGAAACACATATTTGGGATTTTTTTAGAAAATACCTCAAGTTATATTTCTAGCAGGTGTCACAGGAACAGCTCTGCAGTTCTCTGATGATGCACAGACCCTACTCCTACGTGTAAACAGAGAAACCCAGCACAGACAGCAGCAGGGTAAACTTCCCTGGATGTTGTGGCTTGCACAAATCACATCTGAGCTGCAACTTCCAACTGCTGGAAGGCAATATTCCTCTTCCAGAGTAAAAACCTTTGTTGCGCATCTAAACATCATGGGATGAGCAATGATATTTTCAATCCAGCCTATCCCCTCTGCCCCCACTCTTCCCTTTGCAGGGAGCATTCTGAATGATGTGCTGCTGGGCAGAATGATGCCCATAAAGGGAGGCTTTGGAGCTGGTCCTCAAAAACTGTTCACATCTAGAACACTTTTGTGCATGTGGCAAGAGTTTTTTTGATTATTTTAACTTTGCGTTTCATGCTGCATTTTAAGAACATTATTACTTGTCCTGTCATTAAGTGTAGACAAGACAGTTTATATTCTCCTTTGCACTATCTGCTTTAAAACACTGCATTTATGTGTCTTTCCGAATCATCTTTTTACAACTAAATGATCCAAAGCATTTTAATAATGCCACATCCATCAAGTGGTCTAGACCTCACAAAGAATCATTCCATGAATATTGAAATGCTCACAGCTTATTCTTAGAGAACTTTATATTTTGTTTGTCTTTCCCTCTTTCTCTCCCTGACAAAATGAAATCATGGAATCATGTTTAACTTAAAGACCACTTCAGAAAATTGGAATTTCAGACATGACTTCATGCAGAACAGAGCTCTGTAGAAGCCACAGTTAATCTTTCCTTTGTGCCAGGTTTGCAATTATCCTACAAGTATTTTTCCTGTGCAGTACCTCCCCTGCTTACTAAATGTGGGAATATAGTTTAAAAATGTATACTATTTAAGAATATATACATATCTCTCAAATAAACAATGAATTTTTGCAAGCTTTAAGTTACACTCTGAAAATCACAACTTACCTTTTGAGTAAGTAGAGCCTGAACAACCTGATTAGCCACCTGAAAGAGAAAAAGTAAACAAATTTACATATGTTATCATGTGTGTGTATGCAGAACAACCTTCTTTTGTGGCCTGTCCTGGTCTCAGCTAGGGCAGGGTTAATTTCCACTCAGTTGTTATCATGTGTGTGTATGCAGAACAACCTTCTTTTGTGGCCTGTCCACTCAGCAGCTGTTACCTGTGCTTTGGATTCAGAATGAGAATGGTGTTGATAACACACTGATGTTCTGGTTTTTTGCTAAGTTGTCTTTATCCTAAGTCAAGGACCATATTTTTATCTTGTCTCATGCTCTACAGTGAGGATGTTCACAAAAGAAACTGGGAGGAAGCATTGCTGGGACAGGTGACTCAAACTGGGAAATTCCACGCCACAGAACATTATGTGCTATAAACTGGGGCAGTTGCCAGGAAGGAAACTGTTCTTATCTCAACATACAAGCATTATGCTGATTCTTTTCCCCATTCTATTGGATCTGAGCCAGCAGCTGTGTGGTGCTTCGTCTCCATCTGGGCTTAAAACCATGACAGTCCTTTTTTGTCACTCAGTGTGAGGCCCAAAGGGTTAAGGACAGATCCAACCAGAGTGAGTTAAAAGATTGTTATAAATATATACTGTATGGGTTTCACAGTTGCCAGTGGCTTTATACTCCACCTCCCATCTACAACCATCACCATTTCTAGCATTTTCATCATTTTAATCAGATAATACCGGTAAGAATACATGAAATTCACATCAACCACTTCTGTGCTGGTCTTCATTACAAGCAAATGTGCACTGTATCAATTGCAGTGTGATGTGAGGGGCATTTGGCTAACTTCTGTCATATCTTCTTTGCAGCAGATGAAACTCCCTCAGTTCTAGATGCAGTTTGTGTGCATCAGCATGGATTGACTGCATTCACTGGAGCAGACTTTTACCAGCCAAGGATGGAGGCCTGAATGTTTTCATGAAGTTTAATTGTTTCTTGATTAAATATTGACAAAACGGTGCATCTATCATGACAAGCAGGAACCATGAAGTGCCACCAAAAATTAAAGTACCTACTGTCATCGAAATGTGGTTGGAAGGCATTCACCCCACACAGCACAATTGACTTGAATGAGATTACACACCATTGATTAGCAGAACTGTACATTCAACAGGGAATTTATGAAGTTATTTCTTTTATACATCCTTTCTAATTTATATTTACCAGGAAGGATAGGGGGAGTGAGGTGGAAGAAGGAGGGAGAGAAAGAAAGACTGAGATAAGATTTTCTGGTGGTGCTAAGTTGAAGGTTCCACACCATGTATGCACATGTTATCACACAATGTGCTGACTTATCAGTTTTACTCCTACATTTAAGCAGAGCAAATAGAGATGTCTCTCTTAGAAAAAAAAGAGATTTTTAATTTGGTTTTGGTTTACAGAATTTACAGTAAAATTTATGCAGGTATCACTAAATAATCTGCATTGATTCTTGTTACTCTTGGCAAATTAAATAAAACCCCCACCACCACTGATGTAAACTCGGTGGGGAGCAAAGAGCTGCAGCAGCTAATTCACTTCTGTAAATAATTTACTTTTGCTAGATACAAAAGCTACATTTTGTTCCTACTCATAAAATTGCCTAGTATCAATTTTTTTTTTCCCAAACTGGTCCCTAACTTCAGGCAGCCTGTGGAACAACGCTCCAAAAGAACAGCTCTCTACATGATTTAACAGAAGACACAGACTAATATTAGAACAGTAATAACCAACAGAAGTAAACATGCTAGGGTTTGAAAGCCCATGTGCCTCGCCCTGCAGGCTCTCGGGCTCTCCATCCGACACTGCTCCTTCTGGCAGGTACTTTAAGGTCTGTTTGCTCTACCTGAAAATTGAACAAACCACAGCGAATACATTATTTCTTTACTTTCTGACACGGAGTTACTTTAGCAAGGAAGAACTAAAAGGTTCTTTGAAGTGTGCACTAGTCACTCACAACAGCATAGCCTACAAAATGACTCCTACAGCTCTACATATTGTACAGAGGAGTGTAAATGGCATAATATTCCAAATGGGGAAAAAAACTGAACCTGCTGATGCATTTATGACAAACTTTCCAGCTTTTGGGTGAAGATAGGTATCTAAATGGAAGTACCTGCCAGTGATCCATAGCTCCCATGGAACTCAATAAGAAAGATATGTAACCAGCTTCTCCAGAAAAATGTGGCTATTTTTTTTCCTATTATCTAGCAACTTGGCAAACTGTGTTGTTATTACCATTCAAGATTTTCAGGTCTGTATTTTTGGTATTCAGCAAGAACAGAGGTGGGAAGCCTTTAGTGAAATGTTCTGCAGTTACTAAAATTAATTTAGCACTCAATAAGTGGAATCATAGCCAAATGTTTGCATTTCAAATGAGGTTGCCATTCTACTCCTACAGCATATGGAAATAAGCTGCTAAACTCAACAGTCTACTTCATTTTAACTTACAGGTATCAGGAGACACCATGGATGTGAATGAACAACATAAACCAACTCCACAAAACTGATAGTCACAACTACCAAAAACTGTGGTAACTGAGATCATTGAAGGCAGAGGAATTGACTTCTGAGACACAGAAAATGTGAAGTTCTCACTTGTATGAGACATAACTGTGCCTCAATCCCAGTAAAAATCCGGCTGTAAAAGTACTTGACCTGTGATAACTGCAGTTAATCAAGGTGAAGCAAGGAATAGAACAGAGCTGGCTGGTTCCTTGGTCTGCTGTTCTGCAGTAGGTGACATTCCTTGCTTTCACACTACCTGCCTCTCCTTTGAACTTAACAGCCAGGATCTTTAGGTGATGATTCCTTTTCTGGATTGCAATAAAAGAGATAAAAGATCCAGCTTCACTTTTTCCTTAGGCAATTATGTTTACAAATATATGTCATAAAGTGGTCTTAATAGACAAGGTATAAAAAGAATGAATCAAAGAAAAGAGACCCTAATGCAACATCTGTTATGCCTTTTACAAGTACTGAGATTTTACACAGCTGCCTTTAATGTATAATTCCATATGCACAAAGACATTTCAAGTGTACTAAAATAAAAGATTTATCTTTTATTCAAATCTTAAAAACAGAATGCCTTTTTTAAGATAACTCTGCATTTTTGATTAGTTAATTCTTAAAACATCAGCAAAAATATCAACTACCCCAAGTTGCATAATTTCCTGCATGTGAATACGGTGAAGCTTTGACAGAAATCTCAGTTGGCACAGTGATGTGAATAACCATGACATTGCCACCTACCAGTAAACTGACAGCTGAATTCCACAATAGGAAACTGAGATTAAGCATGTTAACCTCAAAGCCCAAAGGTACAGGAAGACAATACTGGGTTTTGCATTAAATTTTTCAGAAACAGAAAGACACATTTATGGAGTATGTCTGAATTTAAATAAGCTCTTTTCTTATTTATCAAGTACTGGAACATTTCAATGACACCTTTTTCCAAATACAGTTCCAAGTTTTTAAATTTACACTTCAGAGATGAAAAATTATTTTAAAATCAGTGAATAATTGTTAAAATTCATAAAGAACTCTGCTCAGCTTGACCCATATGCTTTTCAGATTTAATCTCTCTGAACATTTGAGTTTCACTGGATTTTACCATGAAAATTATTAAAGAGCATGCATTTTTATGTCACAGTTGCAGGCATTTATACAATATTAAATGTAGGGCATTATATGAATAAAAAATATGTAAAATAACTGATTTAAAAAAAAAAAGAAAAATGAGGGAAAATAATGGCAAGCACAACTTTAAAAACTCAGCTCTGGTATCTCTTTGCTACAGAGAGACAGAAAAATCACAGTATCTATTTTTACTTCCTTCATATTCAGCTTAATGGTCACCAACACCTGAGCAGAGAGCACACTGTGCATTGCAAGTGTCACTTGGCTGTGACCCTGGGGGCCCAGGCAGGTCACACTGCCAGGGTGGCCAGGTTAAATGGTGCCTGAGTGCCCTGAGCAGAGTCTGCCTGTGCCCAGGGGAGAGGAGCTGCAATCCGAGGCTGCTGAGTGATGAGTGAGAGGTGGCAGCATTCTCTCAATAGTTATCAAATGATGTTCCCAGCCTTCAGTTCCTCTGATTCTGATTTTTTACTGCCTGTCAAGCCTCCCAGACATGTAACAGCCAGGAGGGCCAGGTGGAGGCTTGGGGGGAAGCACTCCTTGTGCATCAGCCCAGGAGAAGTTCATTGCACTCACAACTCATTTGACTACAGAGGCAAAATGTAAAAAAATTAAAATCATGGCTGTAGTAGGAGCTCACGTGTTTCAGTGGCAGCCTCAGCTGTCTCAGGCTGGGCTGTGATCACAGCCCTGTGCTCCCAGGAACAGCTCTGCTCCTCACTCCAAACCTGCCAGGTGCCCCTGAGGCAAAGTGGGGCTGCAGCACACACAGAGACACGGCTGCTCCTGAAACACATCTGCTCCTAAAAACACTGAAAGGTTCTGAGAGCCAGACTAGGGAAGGGCTGAAGAAATTCTCACTTTCAACAAGAGGGGCTGGTGTAAGAATGAAGTATGATTAGAGCAACCATAAGACTTAAAGCCCTTAAGAAAATAAATTTTCCAGTGGAAATATTTTAAAATATTTTTAATATTTTAAAAAATCTTCATTAAAAGCCTTTTATTTGCTTAAGATCTCCAATAATCCTGTCTGGAAAGGATTTTTTGTTATTAACTAATTAAACTTCTGTCTCATCTCCTATTCTCTTTACTGTTACTCTCAAAAAAGAGGATGAGGATGTGTGATTTCTTGTGCAGCTCCACCAAAGGAACATTCTCAGGTGGACACTGACCCGGGACTCCTGCAAAATCTGCAACTATTAAATGAGGGTTTCTTGCCTCAGTCATGGGCATCAACTTCTTCACCCCAGTGCCCAGAAGGCATTAGGTCCAAGCTTGTGTCAGCTGAAACAACGCCTCTGCCAAAGCATTGTGAAACACACTAAAAAAGAATAAGATGAACAAAAAAAAAACCAAAAAGCAAAACAGAGAAGCCCAAACCCACAGGTGGTGAGAAGCATTTTCTGCTGGAAAAGTTGACACGGTGAGAGAAGATGGATACAGCTGTGATAATACAGAACTGAAAACAGCTAACATAATGTTGAAGATAATAAAGTTCAGAGCATAGTTTGATTTAATTATATGATCTTTAAACTGAAACAGTGTGTGAAAAACAATCCTGGGTCACAAATGCAGCATCTTACTTCAAACAGGATAAAAGCATGTTTTCTGTCCTTATAACCTGCATGGAGTGTTTTGCTGAAATAGACAGTTACGGTGCTTCACTCATTTCCAAAACTAATTACGTAAGCAGATTTTGTCCTAGACAATCAGAAAATAATTTTAATTTAGGCTCTGTAATTTAAAATGAAGTTAGCAATTATATGGTAATTTCATCCTTATCACCAAGATATCCATGCATGGTTTGAGTGTGCACTGAGGGCGACTCAGGCCACTGCAGACAAAGGCTCTGCTGGACCCCAGAGCCCCAGGATGGGCAGAGCATGACCCAGGGGGAAGGTGCAGCTGCACATTCCCTGACAAAAATCTGCCAAGGTGGCAAAAGAGAGGATTTGCTGGGAAAAATCTGAACTAAACTGCAGGTTTTGTGTACCAGAGCTGTATTGCTCAGGCTCCTAATACTTCAGCAAATGCCAATTAAAAATTTAAAAAGCTGCAGTGAAGACTGGAATTGTCATCTGCCCGGGGTGGTTTGCTTGCTCATGCACTCTTTTCTCCAAGGTACAGCTGGGCTTCTTGTTTTGTTTGCATGTCAGCTAATTACTTATGCCATGACACATCCTCATTATGGAACGGGTAAATTATTTCAACCAAGCAACTCTTGGAGCCACTAAGAGCTTTCAAACTGCTCTGAACTCTGAGGCACGTTGGAGAGCCTTATTGGGAGGAACAAGTGAGCATCAGTACTTGTGTGGAGAAAGCTCCATGCAACAGGAGACACTAGGCACTTCTGGAATGAAGGCATTGCTGGAGTACTCAGACAATAAGTGAGGGGTGAATTATATTCCTGCTGTAACTGGAAGCTCTGATCAAGCCAGCAGCTAGGAAAAAAAACAGCATTAAAAGCTGTGCATGTAACCCTAAGGGGAGCTGAGAGACTAAATCCTGGGGTTATGGAATGTATCACATGGGAAAGTTGAGGGATTCCTGATCAACACGTGTTTCACTTGACAGAAAAGGAGTGCACAGCACCTAACAGGCAAATTATAATTTCCTCCTCCTCATGAAAGCAAGCCAGTCCTATGCTTTTGTCACATGGATATCGACTTTTCAGTGAAGAGCTGTGGTCAAACCAGGATTTACAGCAGAGGTCACAGGGAACAACACCTTTGACTGCCAGACACATGTTCTTGGAATTAATTAGAATGAGGTAATACAAAAATTGCAGAACAATGTCAACCTTCTAAGAGAGGCAGAGATTAATTTGTATTAATTTAATTATAGTAGCAGGTAAGAACAACCTTTTTATCTACCTTACCTCATCGAGACATCTTTCATACTGTTCTCTCTGATTTTCATTTTCCAGAGCCAGCGCTGAATTCTCTGCCTACAGTAAAAGGGAATAAGTAATAAATATGTAAATTTAGCAAAGGATATATTCCACCACATGACAATTTATAAAAATTCTCAGGGGGCTTACCTACTGTACTTCTTCAAGATCCAGAATAAAATACATCATACAATTTACTTTGCTGCAGGTTGGTGCTTTGAGTAAAACCAGAAGTGACATTCATTTATGAGATTATTCACACCCTGCATTACAATTGAGAAGAATATCATAGCAGATATCCCATGTATGTCCACCATCTCACCTTGTCAGGTGCAATAGAGTTGGTAATGAAACACTATAAAAGATATTGACACATCTTCTTCTCTTCCTCTCCCTTTTCTGTTTAGAGGGAACTTTTTACTTAAGAACCACTTGGACACAAGCAGAGGCAGCCACTATCACAGGGAAACAAAAGCCAACCTCATGTAAGCTCTTAACTGTGGCAGCCCCTCTCAAGCCTGGTTCTGCAGTGGGGAACCCCACAGGCATAGATCATTCCACAGCTAATTGGTGAATTATTACATCCTTTAACTGACCCTAATAAACTTAATAGTCTTTACTTACAAAAAAAATCTGATTATTTCAAGAGCGAGAGATATTTTGCTACTTCTCTTTGCTACATCTCAAAGTCTTGAAGTCAGACTTTTTTTCTCCCACATATGTAACTTTAAATATGATAAAAATTCCTGTGCAATAGGGCCTTTCATCTGTCTTTAGTTTTCATTACGCTCACATTTTTGCATAGTGAAAACTTAAAAATAGCACAATCTGGTAAGTAAATCACAGTAAACTAAAGTATTTTTCTCTATATATCTATTTGACTTTAAGAATTCTTACTGTATGGGAAGAGGAAAATCTCTAAAGTGTGATGCAGTTTCATCAGAGCAAGTTTCAACTAGTCTTCTCTTAAAGACTGAGAAAGTAAAACAACATATATAAAAATATATGAGTGAAAACTGGCTCTAGAAATCTCTCTGCCTCCCATGCATAACTTCCCATCACATAACCATAACGCCAAAATCAATACATTCCCATAATTACAACTATTATGCAATTTACAGTACTTGCATTACTTTAACCTTCTGTCAACCTATAAAACTTAAAAAAGTGCTGTTTCAATGGAATTGTGGTTACACAAAACAACAGTGATAAATACAGTTAGCATTTGTAGTTTTAGAGGAAAATTAATGTAATGTGCTGTATGGAAAGACTCAGTGAAAGATGCACAGTTGCCTCTTCCTTCTTGAAAAAAGTCAATGAATCAACAAAATAAGAATCCCAAAGTCTATTAAATTGATTCATTAATAAAAATTTCAAATTCAGCTGAATCATAAAAGTAAGGCTAGGAAGCAAAAGCAGATGTACACTATTATCCAGCATCTTGAAAGAGATTGAAGAGTGAAAGTGTGGTAAGAAACAAGGGCATATAGAGTTTACTTATTTAAAAGTCTAAATAAGCAAGTGTAGAGAATCTGTGCTTTATCTCCAGGGTACAATTAAAGCCAGCAAAGGTGGTAAAATGCTCTGCATCATATTTTCACAATGTCACCTATGAATGGGTTCAACATAAGGCTATAAAAAGTCTATGGGTGATCCTGCAGAGAGCACCGTGGGATGAGGCAGCAAAAGTGGCAGATGCAGAAGGAGCAAAGGAGAAGAAGAAGCTGCAAAAGCAGCAGTAAAAAATCAGAAGCTGGAGGGTAAAGAGTCCTCCAGACTGAAGAGGCCATAGTTTGCTTTTACAGACATATTCTTGCAGATTGATTGATAAAATAAAGAGAGCTTTGTTACATAAAAATATTCCTGAGTTAAAGATTTTCAGACATTTTCTCTATGAATACCCCCCTAAAATGCCACCCAAAAGAAATTCTTACTGTTTTGAAGCAATCACTAAAGGATTTTTCTGCTCAGACTTTCACTCACACATATTGATATATTTATGGATTTTATTTTTAATTTTCATTTTTATTAACATAAAAATAGATTGTATGATTTTATTCTAAAATTGTTTGGGCAGACTGCTTACATACAGAAATCTGTAAAACAACTACAGCACATTCTTGTACTATATGAAATATACAGAGAGCTCCCTATGCTTCTCTTACTCCATGTTTTGGAATGCTGTAAAATGGAATGCTACATCTTCCTGGATCTCTTCACTGAACCTCTGATTTCAGCAAGCTATTCCATTACAAACAGGCTACCAAAATTAGGAAATCTAAACCTGGCAGCATCATAAATAAATGCTACATTTCAGCTCTTATCAATCCACAGTGGAAACATCTGTATAATAAAACCTGTTCTCACACCACTGGTTTTAAAATTGTAGTGAAAGGATGTAATGCAGTCAATGTTAGCTTGACTTTTGTGCTTCTTGATTGCCAAGCAAATCATGCCTATTTATTTGGCATTTTTGAAATGAGCAATAGACTGGAAGGGAACACTTGACTGACTTTGCTTTAGAATCTGTGCCAGCTCCCACATCATGAGAAAACCAGTACTTGATATATTAAATCACTCTACAGTGCAACCAAATACTTGATAATAATCCTCATTCCCAGAAAGTGTTCATTTGGAAAATTTGTAATAGCACTTAAAGTCTCAAAACCCTGCCTCCTAATCCAAACCTTCATTTATTTAACAGAAATCACTGGGTTTTGATGTTATTATAAGGCTGCTCAATTTTTGCTCCAAAGGATCCGCCTTCGTCTCATATTGTATATTGTGGGTATCCTTTGCCAGTTAAGCAGAGTACATCTCCTTGAAGGAAACTGCTATTAAATTTCCATTTTTATTTTCAGCCTACACTTGGAGAAGGCTCAGCTGCAGGAAGGAGCCCCCCTCTCTTCTCACATCTGGAAAGCTTTTGCACACCTGCAGGCACCTGGGGCAGCGACAGTTCTGACCCCAGTTCTAATCCCACCCAAGACCTGGCAGGGGACAGAGCAGGGAAAACTGAGCTTGCTGAGAACAAGCAGCTGAGAGTCCTGAGAACAGCACTTTCTCAGATAGCCCCTGATTTCTGTAGTGATTCCTAGTTTAGGCATAGCTGTCCTCTAGGAATTTATGTATATTTTGTGTCACACATAGAAATGAACAATGATTCTCTGTTCCTCAGCCTTGCCAACACTAAAAGTGATGCAGCCCAGCAAAGATGGAGCACTCAGTGCCTGCCACCAGCACCTCAGACACACACACTGTTTTTTGGGGGACAGCTCACAAAGCACAGCAGCATTCAGTCAGCCAAAAGTAACTGTGGCACAACGTACCGCTAAATGCAACATCAGTACCTGCTGCTTTTGGATCTTTACAGACTCAAGGATCCCAAAATGTCAAAATAGATGTCCCTCCCACTTCTGATTTGGGAGAAAGTGTTTTGCACTAGAGTCTCTCCCAACACTGGAAAATTTAAAGATGACTTGGATAATGTTAAGCCACCTTCAATTTCCTGGATTAGAGACAACATGGTTCTGAATTGTGAGATGGAGTTTGAAAGGTAAAACTTCAGACTACTTTAACAAAACAGGCTGCCTTGGTACCATTGCTAACACAGAGTCATTATGAAAGACTGTCAATTGATTTTAATTCCTTCCTCAGGACGAAAAAGCATAGCCCCGGTAATGATAAAACTTCTTTGAGTCAGCTAAATTCTCTCTCTCCCATAGATATTTTCTCCTGTGGGGCAGCTGTTTGCACAGTTTCAAAGTTAATAAAAAGCTACACACCTGGTGCTTCAACAGACAATCCTCTGCACTTTTATAATGACAATGAAATTATTAAAACTATTAATTAACTATTAAAATTAATTGATTTTTCTACTAGAATGCACAAATAAAAGAGAAGCATGACTAAAAGAGAATTATGTACAATATAGTTTTCCTTACTCAACCTTTGTCTCAGAGTTGAGACAAAACAAAAGGATGGGAGGGGGAAGAAAGAAGAAAGCAGGGAGTGATCTGCATTTTGCACTAAGGGAAGAGGAGATCATAGAACCATAGGCTGGTTTGGATCAGAAAGGACCTTTAAAGATCATCCAGTCATGGGCAGGAGATGCGGGTCTAAAGGTTGTATGTCTAGTTAGCAGCTCAGCATGGTCTGAAGGTATCATCAATAAAGGTCAAGAGGAACAAAGTTATGACAGTGAACTTTAAAATCCCTGGCAGAATGCTACCCCACAGTTAGCATGTGCACTCCTTTGTTATTCATACTAAACCGTTTGTCCATTTATAGAAAGCCTTATTGATTTACACAGAGATTCATTTGTCATGCCCAGTGCAGTGTATTAAGAGCTGTCCAAGCACTTCAAATGTACTCAGCAATATTTCCCTGCCTCCAGCCTCTGATTTTGTACACTTCTGTGGTCACAGCTTCCTACAGCACATGAGAGGTCAAACCCTGTTGTTGGCAAAGTAAGAAGTGATGCTGCTGCATTTTTTCCTTAGGTCCTTGGAGCATTTTTGGTAAGCTGTTGTTGTAGGAAGAGTTTACCATTTGAATCACCCCTGTGTCTTTGGTCACAGGGAACTTTTTGCATGTTTCTGTCCCTGCTATGCAGAGAATTTGTCCTTCGAAAGACTAATCCAACAAATTGTCAGCGAAAAGTTTAAGACCATACTTATGCTGGTCAGAAGAGCTGAAAATTACATTTTTGCTTTTAAATCAATGTAATTGTAGCAACAAAAGCCTTAATTTAATTCTATCACTACAACAGCATTTCCACTGGCCACCTTCCAGTGCCTTTTATATTAGTAAAGACAGCTCTTTGCTGGGAGTAAAAGAACTGCACCTCAAGGCCACCTGTCAACATTTGGATGTTTCCATCTTGTTTTTTATACTTTTTCCACAACAGATCAAAGCTTGGGCAACCACGGAGCATCTCCCAGCCGAACAGCTCTGCTCCCTGGCCCTACATCCTCAAGACACTGAGACTGGGCAGTGCTACCTACTGATGAAATAATCAGGGAATTTAGTGGAAAAATACTTAAATAAAGTGCTTT